GAAAGGGAGAACTGAGAAGCTCATTTTTTTTGTCATTACAGAAGTAATCAAGTTAAAGGAAGGATAAACAGAAAATGTAAAATAGTAGACCAAAGCCCACCATATCAGTTATATTAAATGCTAATAGTCTCTAAGCCCAGGCATGGTGGGTCATGCCTGTAATCTTAATACTTTGAGAGGCTAAGGCTAGAGGACTCTTTGAGGCCAGAATTTCAACACCAGCCTGAGCAACACATCAAAATCCTTCTACTTCATCAAAAAATAGAAATATTAGACAGGCATGGTGGCACATACCTGTAGACCCAATTTCTTAGGGGGCTGAGGCAGAAAGATCGCTTGAACCCAGAAGTTAGAGGTTACAGTGAGCTATGGTGATAGCCTGGGCAACAAGATGGAGACCATATCTCCAAAAAAATAAAAAGTTAATAACTCTAGACAGTCTAGTTAAAAGTCAGAGATTGATGGAGTAGATAAAAAAGACTATAGGGTATCTCAAAAGAGACAGACTAGATATAAAGACACAGATAACTTGAAAATATATGGATTAGGGTAAATAGTAAAGTAAATAGTAAAGACTAGAAAGGCTGCAGTAGCTATTTTAATATCAACTAAAATTGACTTCAAGACAAAGAGTTACCAGAGATAACACAAGACAGTCATAACGAGAAAAGAGCAGTTTTTCAAGGCATCCATAATTTTAAATATCTATACACCAAATAACAGTACCCACAAATACCTAAATCAAAAATTAGCAGAATTAAATGGAGAAATAGAAAACAAAATTACAGATTTTAACTTCTCTCTTCAAAAAGCATAAATTAATTAAACAGAAGGTAAATGATGGAGGAAATGGCCCAAAAACTTATTCTTTCAAAAGAGCAATAAAATTGACAAATTTGACTTATCAAGAACAAAACAATACATAGCCCACATCTGTAATCCTAGCACTCTGGGAGGCAGAAGCAGGAGGACTGCTTAAGCTCAGGCCCAGTGAGGTTGAGGTTGCTGTGAGCTATGATGACACCAGGGCATTCAACTCCAGGGCAACAAAGTGAGACTCAAAAAAAAAAAAAAAAAAATACAAATCACCAATATCAGGAATGAAAAGGGGGTTATCACCATAGATTCCTACAGACATTAAAAGGTTAACAGAAAAAAATGAATAAGTTTATGGCAGCAAATTTGACAACCTAGATGAAATGGCCTGATTTCTTGAAAAACACAACTTAAACAAAATTGACACAAGAAGAAACAGAAACCACATAGCCCTATTATCTAGTTAAATTTTTGAATGCCATAAAAAATTTTCTTGAAGAAAAAAATCTCCAGTTCCAAATAGTTTCAGTGGTGAATTCCACCAGCATTTGGGGGATAAGTAATACAGGCAGAGGCCGGGCAAAGTGGCTCATACCTGTATCCTAGCATTCTGGGAGGCTGAGACAGGTAGAATGCCTGAGCTCAGAAGTTCAAGACCAGCCTGAACAAAAATGAGTCTCAGTTCTAAAAACAGCTGGGTATTGTGGCAGGTGCCTGTAGTCCCAGTTACTCAGGAGGCTGAGGCAAGAGAATCACTTAAACCCAAGAGATTAAGGTTGCTGTGAGCTATGATGCCCGGGCACTCTATTGAGGTAACAAAGCAAGACTGAGTCTCAAAACTAAACAATATGTTGCTGGATTCAATTTACTAATATTTTGTTAAACAATTTTGGTTTGTTTGTTTGTTTTATATATATATATATATATAGAGAGAGAGAGAGTCTCACAACCTCACCCTCAGTAGAGTGCAGTGGCATCACAGCTCACAGCAACCTCCAACTCTTGGGCTCAAGCAATTCTCTTGTCTCAGCCTCCCAAGTAGCTAGGACTTTAGGCACCCACAAAATGCCCAGCTTTTTTTGTTGCAGTTGTCATTATTATTTGGCTGATCTGGTTCGAACCCACCAGCCTCGGCTGACACCATAACCTCTGTGCTTAGGGGCGCCAAGCCGAATCCAGCAATATTTTAAAAGATGGGTAACACAAATCCCAAAGATACAAGGTTGGTTTAACATTCGAAAATTAATCAATGTAATCATCTGTTATCAGAATAAGTGAGAAAACCCACATAATCATTTCAATAGGTGCAGAAAAAGCAATTCAATTCCCATGCATGATTTAAAAAATCTCTCTCTCTCTCTCTCTCTCTCTCTACACTAGAAAACTAGGAATAGTAGGAAATATACTTAGATTTATAAAGGGCATATGCAAAAGACCTATAGCATTTTTTTTTTTTTGAGACAGAGTCTTGCTCTGTCACCCTGAGTAAAGTACAGTGGCATCATCATAGCTCACTGCAACCCACACTCCTGGGCTCAAGCGATTCTCCTGCCTCAGCCTCCCTTGTAGCTAGGAATACAGGCGTG